GATAGGGTAAGCGGGGTGCAGAAGCAGGGGGCAGGGGGACACCCTGACATTAGCCCCCCCTCTTCCTCACCTCCCCCCAGCACAGCAAGCAGGTGTCTCGGGGAGCAGCTGTAAGGCAGAGGGCAGGAGCAGCACATGGCAGTGGGGGGAGGGACAGCTGCAATTACGAGCCTGCTGGGCAGCTGCTGCACAGGGAACTTAGGGGAGCGGGGAGCTGATCGGGGGAGCTGATGGGGCGGGCTGCCGGTCCACCCTGGTTCCAAGCCCCCACCAGCTAGCTGCAACGGGCTGCTCTTCCTGCAAGCAGTGGACAAAGCATTCGGCTGCCAAATGACGTTAGAAGGGAGCATTGCACAACTTTAAACGAGCATGTTCCCTAATTGATCAGCAACGTAACAATGAAACAATGTTAACCGGGACGACTTTAAGTGAGGAGTTACTGTATTAAATGGGCCCAGCAACAAAATGGAAGAGAATTCAAGGGTGCCCCTAAGTGATATAGGATATATTTTTCTCTCTCTTTCCCGCTGTCAAGGAAATGTTCATTGTGGGTTACTCCCCAAAAACAGACAGTTCTGGACATGCACACTTCAGTAGATTTCAGTGCTACAGATGTTTACCTGGTTTGATATTTACTTGGAGATTTTCCTGCATAGTATAATTATTTTTTTCTCTGCAGAACAATCTACTGTCTCTGAGCCCCAGGTGACAGTTGAATTTCACAATGGGATCGTCAAATTCAACTTCAGCGACCCTAAAAATGTTACTGAATTCAGCATGACCCTGCTGAAGGGGCACGAGAGGCAGGAAATCTGTGCATTCCACATGGAGAATGGGAAGTCAATACCTGAAACTAATAGCAGCTACTGTGAGCCAGTGCACTCTGGCAACAGCACGTCCTTCATTCTCAAAAATTTGGAAAGCAAGCACACCGGCATTTATCTCTGCTGCCTGGAAATCCTTTTACCTGCTCCCTACATAGACTGTAGGGTAAATGAAACCTATTTGTATATCCATGGTAAGTTCACAGCCCCTCTCTCCTTACTCTAGCTTTAGAGATATATAAATGAGAGTGTTTCTCTAAGATACCAAAGGCAAACCTTGAATTAATTCTAGATTAGCACAAAAATCCATTCTGAGATTTACCTGCACGTGTCACAGGCAAAGTCTTAGTTGTCGGTATCTGTACCAGAAGCAATATATAAATCTAACTTATGGCCTGATCGAGAGAGGTGCTGAGCGCTCACAACTCCCATTGCTCACCTCTTTGAATCAGGACCTGGGTCTGTTAAGTAACTTGGGACAGTCTATCAAAATCTAAAGGACATTTTGCTGTCTACCTGAAAGGAGCTGGGACCGCACCCCAATGGGTGGTGAATGAACATCAATCATCTTTTGAGTTGCCATTCATTGTGTCTCGGATATCTCACCGTGGCTGGTTTGCAAGTGTCTTGCCTCTAGCTGAACAAGTTTATAATCTCTCCACCCAAGCCCTTGCCTTTGTTCTCTGTTAGGATGGATGATAAAACCATCCTCCCAGTTGTCCTCTCTTCTCCTTCTGTCCCTTCCCTCCCTCAGCATCTGGGGAATACCGGGGTAACCATGAAATTCAATGGCCCATGTTTTGTCAGATCTGATGATCTAGTGGTTCCTTAAAAATAGATTAATCTGTGATCCAAATCCTGTCACTTCTCTTGCCTAACATTTCCAAAAACTACCCCTTCCTTTGTGTCTGGGCAGCCAGATTGCTCAGCCACAGCTGTGTCATCTCATGACTTGACTACTGCACTCTCCTCCGGTCTCTAACTTTGCCTCTCTCCATTTCATCCAAAATGTTGCTTACAAATTCCTTTCTCTCACCAGGCCTTTGGACCACTGACTCCCCATTGCGCTACTCATTAAATTAATACTCAATCTGGTTTGGGCCTTCAAGGCCCACCCATGATGCAGCCCTGGTCTCCTTTCAGATTGTCCTTTGCCCCCTCCACTCTGTCAACAATATTAGCCTCGATGCCTCCTTCACTTCTTCCTCACACAAACTCCTCTGGACAATTGCTGCGTTCTGCCTCATGCTCAGCGTGTCTTCCTCGAGTCCATTCACCAAGCCAACCAGTCACATCATTTAGATCCCTCTCAAACACTGACTTCTGCCATTTCCCCCACTGCTTAAAATGCATGGGGTTGCAAACCTGAAAAAAAATTTTTTTTTGTAAAGCAAGCTGGGTCACTATCTTACCAAAGCTGGTCCTCCAAGATTATGATTCTCCCACCCCACCCCCACCCCCAGCCCGGCACACACTTTTTCCAGACCACTCTAAGCATTGATCTCACCTACATAAAGTGTGTGTGTGGGTGGGATAATTTAGACTGCTAATCCTCAGTAATTTTTTTTTAATATGTTCAAGACTCAGAAGCCTGCTTTGTATCAGAAATGATGTCATGGATGCTTATTGGGATCACTGTATTTTCCATGGTTTCCTGTATCTGCTGCATAGTAGCCTGTTGCTTAAGAAAGAAGGTAAGCAATTTCCATACATCGTCCTAGGTCCAAAGCTGATACGTTGAGGGCCTGATTTAGTTTGATTTAGGGTATGTCTTCGCTAGCAACGTTTTAATGTGGCTGTGTAGTCACGGCACCAGCGCTGGGAAAGAGCTCTCCCAGCACTATTAAAAAAACCCACCTCGACAAGGCAAGTGCACTATCTTGCAGCGCTGTAAAGTGGCAGTGTTTTTTCGTGCTCAAGGGTGTGTTACAGACACATGCACAGCATGTGCTAAGAGTGTCAATGAAATGGAATTCAGTCATCAGTGACAACAGCTCAGTTTTAATTTTTTTTAAGTCAGACTAGCCTATTGATTTAAAGACCTGGAGCCATAGGAAGAAAGAACAACTTTGCACAGGTCAGCAAAAATACCTTGGGAAGCAACTCACTTGATTGTTTTCTTCAGGAGGGGAAAGAGGAGTAATTCCAGCTCTGTTCCCGAGCAAAACCTCTTAAAAACAAAGGTAACAGCCACAGAAGAAGAGAGTTTTGTTGAACAGAGTCTGCTTTTCTCTTCCAATTTGTGAAGTTTGGAGGCGAACACCATCCGGCTCTGACTTTATTATCCCATTGAAAGCAGAGTGAGATTAACCACCCTATTAAAAGGAAAAAGGCAAGAGTGAATGGGGGTTAGAGACAAGCAACTAAATTCAGGGCATTTTCTTTGCAGACACAGCAATGTGAATCCAACTCCCATGAGTTCAACAGTGAATATATGCCCATGGCAGCAGTGAATGCAGCTAGAAAACCAGCATTCTAAGGTTATACTATGTCTTTACTGAATCATTCTTACATCATTAGCAACAGGCTTTCTCTATGGGGAAGGGTTGGCCTGATCTGCCTCCAGCTGACTTTAGGAGTGTGTGTGTTATAAGTTGTTATAATTTATCTGGGTACATAGTGCCATCCAACAGGAATAGCAAACTAAAAGCAAAATCCCCAAAGAGCTTACGATCAGAATATGGAGATATACCTATCTCATAGAGCTGGAAGGGACCTTGAAAGGTCATCAAATCCAGCCCCCTGCTTTCCCTAGCAGGACCAAGTACTGATTTTTTCCCCAGATCCCTAAGTGGCCCCCTCAAGGATTGAACTCACAACCCTAGGTTTAGCAGGCCAATGCTCAAACCACTGAGCTATCCCTCCCCCAACAGAGCAGTCCCCAGAAATGTTAGTGCTTCAGAACATGGCGATGTAATAACTTCAAGAATGAGGAACTGATGTGAAGCATCAATTGATTCAGACTCTTCTGATGCCACATCTTTCCCAAAAGGACTCTGGGGAAGTGCCTCTAATTCAGCTCTGAGTATATCTGCTTATCAAACTTTGGATTGTTACAATAAAGGCCAGGCTGTGACTGTTGGCCCAGGTGTGGGAGGGTGTCAGGAGCTTTCACCCCGACAGGGGCCCTTATATAGAAATCAGCCACAATTTAGAAGGGGAGCAGAGCTAGAAGCTGGAGTGATTCAGGCTTGTTTACAAACAATTCTTAATTTCTGTTCCAGGTGTGAACTTGCAAGTAAGTCACCTGTGGCACAGGAAGTTTCCTGGCACCTTCAGCCTCCGGCCACTTGAAATGTCAGTTTCACAGCCAAAGAGATTTTCCCAGACTGAACTCACACGATACTGATCGGCTCAACAATGAGACATTAGCTCTAGAGCTATTTCCAGTCGTGTTTTGCTTCAGATATTCTGTGTTCACGTGGGCCTGGCCAAATCCATTGACTGCACATCAAATGTGACAACATATAAAAAAAAAAAAAAAAATCTTGTAGTTGCAAAATGTAGAATGTTTCCTTGACAAGGATATTGCTGCAGTGCTGCATAGAGCAATTATGTTATACCTTCTGCAGAAGGTTTCTTCTATGATACCTCCCACGGAAAAAAAAATGAACTACCTCCACAGTCCACTCCAGCAGCATGGCCAGCAACAGCAGCCATTTTACTGCACATATTACTGCTTTGTTATGTCCAGTTTAGCAAGATTGGTCTTCACACTTCTTAACAGCACCACACTAGGATACTTTAGTGTAAATAGACACATTCTGTCCCTTGGATGGGGACTACAGACAATAGAGAAACAATGGAAGGAGTGTATAATATACTTTCTAGTGTCATCTAGAATCTGTTATTGTGCGTTTTTTTTTTAGTTTTTCGGATTCTCACTACATCTTCACAACCCAGACTGCAGGGATCCTCTTTTCCATGTAGATCTAGGGAAATTACAGTTTTTTTCTAGAAGAACAACATTCTTCCAGTATACATTTTATATGTTAAAATCCCAAGACTGTGGCTCTTAATTACATAAGTAAGGGCGGCAGGATCAGTCTCTACATGAGAAAGCAAGGCACAGCCTCCTTATCCCATCCCTTTATTTATCTGTATTACAGCGCATACGTGGTAAGGTACAAAAGACCAGAATATTCAAGAGTCCTTCATCACCTAGAAACAGAGGAAGATGAAGTTTAAGTCTTAACTTGGCACTGTCTTGCTTTTGTGGCTTTGCATCAGACCTTTATCATTTCCCCTAGAGCAGCTCAAAGCCTCAATCACCTTCAGAGTCTACTGACAGTATGTGTTAAATGGCCCACTGGGAATCAAACCTGAATATCCTGCCAGGCAGTGCATAGCACATCACTGTTCAGTTACTCTAAAATTAGAGCATCATATTAAAACCAATGTCTCTAATTCATTTACGGAGTAGAAATACCGGTAAGAAATACTCCCATTCTCTATCAGACAGAAAGCCAGGTGGCTTCTGCGATCAGGGACAGTTAACTTTAGAAAGGAGGGCAGTTAGTATCTCATAAGGGCTTCTCCACAACAACGGACCCCGAATGAGGTGGTTTTGCAGACAAGGGCTGAAAGTCCCCAGTCGAGCTGACCTACCTTCAGGCAAGTATATAGAGACGAAGAGAATCAACAAATAATAATGACTAAATAATAAATAACAAACCAGAATGTCTGTGGCTAGAGCACTACACTGAAACTCAGGTCTGGGTGCTAGTGCTGGCTCTGCTACTGGCCTGCCAGGTGACCTCAGGACTTCCCCTTTGTGTACAATGGGGATAATGATACTGCCTACCTTGGTAAACCACTTGAAGATCTACTGATGAAAGATGCTAGATAACAATCCCTAGCTCTTACTTATCTGTGAGATGTGCTGACTATGAGAGCCCTGTGTAACACCTGTGAGTCCAAAGGAACCTATTACTAGACTGAGAAGGAATCTCATGAAAACGCAAGTTCCTAAGGGAAAGGTACAGAAACCGGAGGTTGTTTCTGTGGTATTTTCTGATAATAGACAAGGTGCGAGTCTGCCCCAAGTGGTTCAGGGGAAAAAATAATCTAGTTCTATAAATGTCACATTTTCACGCCCTGTTACAGAAACAAGCCTCTCTAGATGAGCTTAGCAAAGTTTTAGACTAGACCATTTCTTTGTTTTATATGAGATCTCTCTGCTCTTAATAAATCAGATTTTTATTATACCACATGGCTCTTAGACTGCTTGGAAAACTTCACGCGCACCATCCTGAGGAAACAAACCCCTCAACCCATAAGAGGAGGTAAAAAAGGGAAGAGGGTGTTTGCAGTTTATCCCTGCAATGAACTGGGAGATATGTGCTTTATTTATAGGTGGCAAGTATAATAGGCCTGTGACAGGTTCGGTCACAGAAACCCCCTTGGGACTATCACCTGATGTGCCGGAATTACCTCTGAGCCTGATTTCCCTGCCAGCTTGGGACTCCAGAACCCTGCCTTGTTGAGCCAGACATGCTAGTCTGCCGCAACACAGACCCAGGTCTGGTCCACGCCCCCGAAGCTGCAGACTTAAACCAAAGACTGCTCAGCAGGTGACCTATTTCCAGCACCCAGACACCCAGCTCCCAATGGGATTCAAACCCCAAATAAATCTGTTTTACTCTGTATAAAGCTTATACAGGGTAAACTCATAAATTTTCTGCCCTCTATAACACTGAGAGAGATGCACAGCTGTTTGCTCCCCCAGGTATTAATCACTTACTCTGGGTTCATTAATAAACAAAAGTGATTTTATTAAGTATAAAAAGTTGGATTTAAATGGTTTCAAGTAATAACAGACAGAACCAAGTAAGTCACCAAGCAAAATAAAGCAAAAACACGCAAATCTAAGCCTAATACATTAAGAAACTGATTACAGGTAAAATCTCACCCTCAGAGATGTTCCAATAAGCTTCCTTCACAGACTAGACTCCTTCCTAGTCTGGGCCCAAACCTTTCCCCTGGTACAGTCCTTGTTAGTTCCAGCAGACATCTTAGGTGGAAAGCAGGGGTGTTCTCATGACTGGCAGCCCTCTTTGTTCTGTTCCACCCCCTTTTATAGCCTTGGCACAAGGCGGGAATCTTTTGTCTCTCTGGGTCCCCACCCCTCCTTCTAAATGGAAAAGCACTGGAATCCATCTTAAACCTGGTATCAGGTGACATGTTCACATGTCCCGGGAGACCCCAACCTCCATTCTTCCAGGGCTGGCCCGCACCTACCCAGGAAGGTTTGCAAGTAAACAGAGCCATTTATGGGTCATTGATTCTGAAGCACCATTAATGGCTTCCACTTAACATGTTTACATTAGTAATACAAGTTTATATCTTATTCTCCTAACTCCAGACATAGAAATAATACATGCAAACACAAACACACTCAGTAGATCATAAGCTTTGTAATGATACCTTACCAGAGATTTTTTGCATGAAGCATATTCCACTTACATCATATTTACACTCATAAGCATATTTCCATAAACACTGTGGAGTGCAACGTCACAAGGCCAGGGCCTGGTGCAACTGCTGCTGATCCGGTGCAGGAAGCCTGGGCCGTGGTGTCCTTGCCTGAGCCCTGCCTCTTGCCCTCCCTGCTCCACCCCTTCCCTGAGAAGGCCCCCACCACCACTGCCTGTTGAGTCCCTCCTTGGTTCTCTCCTCCACTCCACCCCCCTGTGACGGGTTCCACCAGGGTGTCATCTGGAACTGGAGTACTACTGAACCCCTGACCCATCAGCCTGGGCTCCCTCTCACACTGTAGTGCTGTGACAAGCTGCAAAGCCCTCCAGCCTTCACTTTCACCAGCATACAGGTAGGGACACACCCAGCTGCAGTTACATGCAGGCTCTCTAACGATCAGCTACCCAGCCTTGGACCCCAGAGCAGTACCGTCTTGCCCTGGTCAAATCTGGCCAGTATATGGGTTTAAACACCCGGTCCACCTCTCACTCAATGTGAAGAGAACAATGCACGCTTGTGGTAACCAAGCAGAGATTTTTCCAAGCGCTCCAGTCAAAGCTCACTGGTCTGGATTAAAACATAAAATAAATTTAACTACAAAAAATAGATGAAGTGATTATAAAGGATAGCAAACAGATCTAAGCAGATTACCTAGCAGATAAACAAAAACGCAACCTAAGCTTAATATACTAGATAGGGTGAGAATCTGCTATTCGTATCCAGTCTAACTGATGGAACAGGCAGATTTGTAGATACTTAAGGCACAAGATACACTTGCTTTGCAGCTTGAAATCCCCGGGTGTTTCATACACAGGCTAGAAATCCTTTTAGCCCGGGTCCAGCACTTCCCCCAGTTCAGTCTTTGGTCCTCGGGTGTTTCCAGTCCTCTTGTGTGGGGAGTGAAGAAATCTGATATCACTCCCCGCCTTATACAGCTTTAGCCTATGGCGGGAACTCTTTGTTTCAAAGCTTGGTTCCCAAACCACTTTGTGGAAAAATACTGACATCCCAAGATGGAGTCCAGCATCATGTGGCCTGGTCACATGTCCTTGTAGAGTCATAGCAGCCATTACTAACGGGCTGTCTGTAGCCTTCTCAGGAAGGCTCACCAGATGGGGGATAAGCTTCTCCCAAGGCCTATTGCTTTTCCTAAGGGCCCATTACCCTGAATAGGCCCTTCACAACCAGCTGTCTAAACTAGAGGCATCTTCTCTAGTGGGCATTACCCAGGTGTACCTACATTTGAAGTACAGACACATAGTCAGTATTTATAACTTCAGATACGAAAATGATACATGGATACAAATAGGTTAATCATATTTAGCAAATCATAATTTTTCCAATGACACCTCACATGACTTATCTTGCATAAAATACATCATAACATAATAATATCACTACGAAGAAGATGGGGTGCAGTGTCACATGCCCCTCTCCAGAGGTCCCCTCGCTCGCTGCATCCCCCCCTCACCTCCATCCCCCTGGTGAGATCCCCCCACATCCCTCCCTCAGCTCCATCTCCCTCCCTCCCTCTTCACTCCCCTTGCCCCGGAAGCCAGCGGGGCTCAGCGCCGGCTGACAACCTGGAGCTCGGGCTGGCCAGCAGCCCGGGGTGGCCCAGCCAGGGCTCCTCTGGCCACGGGGGGCAGGCGGGCAGGCTGGGGGAACAGCCTTGAGCAGAAGCGGGGGGGGGCAGGGGCCTAGCCTCCCCAAAGGGGGCGTTCACGGACCTCCTATGGCTTTATTGTTATAAATATTACATGCGACTCCGTGACCCTGTTTAATTTTGTATTGCTGCCTACTTGAA